TGATTGCTTTCCTTTAACATTGGTTCTCTGGGAGATTGTGCCTGGTATTCATGGTATAGCTAGAGCATGTGAAATTCAGGAAACCCTCGGCCTGGAGGTGCAAGGTGTTTGGAAAATGTGACAGCAACATCCATATGAATGGGACATTAATGTTTGGGGAAAAATATATGACTGAGTAGTTCAGTGCTTGTTCTTCCCAAATAGTTTCTACCGTGCTTCAGATTTAACTCTGTAAATTACTCTGAGAGTTGATGGATTGTGTTAAACAAAGTAGGCCTCAAAGCAAAGGCAGAATTGTATTTATTTAACATTTTCTACAGATTCGAAAGAGTTGCGGCTAATCTCAAGGTTAATTATTATTTATTGACCATGTAGCCGACTTTAACCCAACAAAGCCAATTCTAACTCAAGCTAACAAGAACCAATCTATAACCCAACTCATATAGTATTAAATCAGAAAGAAAGAAAAAAAAAGAAAGAGCTAGTCTATATGACGCTGTTAATGGTAAATATATTATACAGATTGATTACAATAAATTATTCACTTCATCTTGCATTGTAATTTGACGATATTACAGAATGTATCCTGCTGAAGGTTTGTTACGCATTATCCTGCTTAGTGGAGTCAGATTCAGATTTAATTTACACAAATACTTGTCTCTGGTTTGTATCAAGGTAACTAGACATGTTAATGGAAATAATTAATGTAATTTATTGAGCATAATTCTGTAAAGTTACGGATACTGTCCTCAAGTGGGTTGGATCAACTCAGGGTAGTAGAAGCTCATTCTCAGTTATCCGAGGGTTCCGACCATCAGAGAGTGACATGAGTTGCATTTTGATAATTATCATTGTGGTAATAAGACGTTTGTGCTACACGTGTGCATTCGGGTTTAAATAGATTGTGATTCACCTGAATTTTGGCCAATTAGCGAGTTGTCCGAATTTTGTAGCTCCAAGTCACCACATATCACAAAATAAATAATACAAACACTGTACAAACCGTTTTGTTTGTTTTGTGATTTGGAGATCCATCTATAGCACCATAAAAAGAGATAGCTGATGGGTAGGTGACTGTCAATAATGTGATTTTATCCACAGATCAAGTGAGAATCGACCAATAAAGGGGGGAAAAGGAGGCAGTGAAAAACAGTTTATATAGTTAATAAATTTATAATTCATGAATAGGGAGTTTTTTTTTACTTAGAAGGAAAAAAGGAAGATCAAGGAATAAAGTTGGGATGGCAGTACAGGACCCTAAAATCTAGACTGTCCCACCTAAACCAGGACTGTTGGGAACCCTGTGTATATGTTAGCAGAAAATCATGCTTTATTCCAGAGCCATGTGCAACAACATTTTTAAATCGTCACGGAGTAGTGCCTGTATTCAGTTTTTTTATTGTTTTATTTTTTTTTTCAGTCAAGTGAAGTATTTATTTGTGTGTGTATTTTTTTAGTCTGTTTTCTCAGAGCAACGTATTATGCATTATGTATTATTCAGCTTTTGCAATTTCACAGGGTTATATACACAGTACTTTTATTGTTAAATTATTAATATTTTATTCTTCTCAGATACCACAGCACTAAGTGTATATTACCGTTTCTGTGAAAAGCTTTATGGGCTCTAAATTTCATCCCTAACAAGGGCCCTCTTAAAGTACCCATGCCATCATTCCCTCTCCACCCTCCTACCCCCCCAACACCCCCATTTTTTTCTTGTACTTTAATGATTATACTCCCCACTTTCATTAATTAATGTTTAATATATTTTTTCGATGAGCTGGATCTCAATATCTAGATGCAACCATTTTGTTCTCCTCTGCCCATGATATCTGCTGTTTTACCTTCTGTAGGAATGTATTTCTGATCGATTGTCAGTAAATTTGATTGGCTACTGAAATAGAACCTTGCTTTAAAGCTACTCCCATTATCAAGTTTTGTCAACTTATGCTATACATTAGGAAAAAGTAGTCCCTACCTTTCCTAGTGGATTTTATGAAAACTAGAGAACTCAGAAAAAAAAAAAAAAAGATATTAAGACACAAGAAGCATTGTAGAAGCAGATTGGATTTTTATTTTTGAGATTAGATTAGAGATTCTTATTAGAGTTTATTTTTGTTGACAGAACCACTTCAATCTGGCTCTGGTCCAAATCCACATAGACCATATTTTGGAATCAAGGGGAATATGACACACTTGTAACTGTAAAATTGTATTATTAAAATTTTTTATATTTTAAACAAAGTATGAACATATGTAATATGCACATTAATTTGTGTACAAAGAAATCAGTCATCAAAAGTTAGTTATCTGCCTCTTACATATTCCAAGGAAATCATTTAATCAGAAACATTTATAAAAATTATATGCCTTTTTTAAATAAAAGAAATTATTAAGTTTAATCATGTTAGTTAGCAATTACAGTTATATTTATCAACTGACCTCTGGTGACATAAGATAATGTTTGTAATTTAGACCAGTGAATATTGTGAAAGCATGTCAACAAAATACTCTTTTAATACAATATGAATGTATTCTGCATTACCTTACTATTTTACATTAGTAACACTGGGATAAAATGGCTTCTCATTTTTCCATAACTTAATGTTACATCTCCCTCTTGTGGTCATGTATAAAACAACATGGAGATGAAGAGAAAATCCTTTTAAATAAGCCACCTGTTCAGACCGTTGGTATATTTGTTTGCATTTTCTTAATATTAAATTTTTCAGCAACATCAATGTGTGCAATATGAATTAACAAAAGAATAAACGTGTACTAAGATTCAATGTGTTCATCTGTTGTGGATGTGAAAGACTGTTTTCTACACTAACACATTAATAATACAAAATATTTATGGACTATAGGGTACGGTATTACGCAGACACAATAATAGTTTTGGGCTAGTTTTTCAATAACAAATGATACTACAACTAATAGAAATTAATGTGATATCACAAAATATATATCATAACGTGATGATAAAAAAAAAGATTTGTTTAAAAATCTTTATGGACGACTGATAATAGCTCTTGATCCATTTACATACAATTTATATACAATTGTTTTCCCTGTTGACATAACATGGGACAATATATAGAAAGGACCCCAAGCATACAGACCTAATTTCACAACAGAGAATTAATATAGTTGTGTGCCAAGGTCAAGGATAGGAATATAGACACTGTCAAGGATAGGAAATAGCGGTAAACAGTAGATAAGCCAAATATCCAGAATACGGAGTTTAGAATAAATGAGTAACAAGCCAGGGAATCAACAATATCATAAACGCACTGTGACAAAAGCAATTTCACCACTGGTTTTTGGAGAGGACTAATGGCCAGCCTTTTACCCCTGTGACTTTTTTCTTTTAAGGCACTGTTTCTGCCACCTTTAAATTATATTGTAACAGTTTTACACTTTCAAAGTAGTACTTCGGATACAGCCGAAGTGTCGAAGTAGTCAAAGTGGCCGCCTTTCAACTTTCGAACACGTGGCGGCGGCCATTTTATTCAGTCGAACGAGTTCAGCAGTATTTTGTCATCGAGTTCATGAAACTCAAATCGGACATGCGACGGCACAAACACCGCTGAAACTTTACCTTCTCTGAGACTTCGACTCTTCGACTGAGTCGAACGGCATTCGACAATTCGAATGGCACTTCAACATTGACTTTGTTCCCCTCCCTGTTCGTGCATTCGAAGTGAACTTAGTAATTGGAAATAGACCAGTCGCATAGCCAAATTCTCTGGAACTGTTTTGGGCATGAAATCATGCGTGCGGTCGGTCAAAAGAGACTTACATGAAACTTTTGAACCCCTGCTCTGATCTGAGTGATTTTTGGATATGTTGTTCACCCAGATCAGGGCTATCAGGGGATATGTTGTGTTTTGGGGTATTTTCTAGACTTTGTATAAATGTATGGTTTTTCTGCCTATGGATAATTGGGTTATTGTATTAACTACCTTAATTATATCACAGGCAGAGGGGAGGAATTGTGTGCAGTATATGGGAGTGTCAGACATTGTTGTATTGTTCTTTTTGGTCTGCACAGTTTGTATTGTGGTGCTCCATCAGGTCCAGGGGGTGTGCCTCTGGCCTGAGGAATTGTATATAAGCCAACCAGTACCAATAAAGCCTCAGACTTGTTCTACCCTTCATGAAGTTTCGGCTCATGTTTGGGAGATTGGAGAACTACCTACACTCTGAGGATTACTATAATCACTATACTCCCCAGAGTATAATCACTAAGCTCTTGTAAGAGCTGTTCCTGTTCCTGCTCTCTGGACTAAGAGAGGTCTACTTACTGGAAGCTGGATCCTGGTCCTGGGTGCAGTGTGGGTGGAAGACGGTGAGACCGCAACCAAGCTGCGGCGGTTTGTGGGGTCTGCGGTGGTTATGGTGTCTAGTGGAGTGCTTGGAGCCCTCAGAAAGCACTAGGAGCATCCATCGGTGGAGGTACCCAACCATGGTACAGGAAGCTCCGTTACACAAACTATTAGGCTACACAAGATCCACAACAGTGCGATTAGGATAGACAAAAATGGAGTCTAGTGGGTGCTTGTTTATAATTGGGACATGTCATTAAAAAGTCTCAAGAGATGTGAGGATGGCGGAACGCTAAATTCATGTAATGCACAGCGTTATCAGCACACGCTACAGGGGAAATCAGGGATCGCATTATTCTGATGCAGCCATAATCTGGTATATAAGGACGCATAAAGACAGCCTGTGGCATCAGAGACCAAGCTGGAGGGTGGACCACGAGGAGCATCAGAAGCTGTGACAATAAGAATCAAATAGGTAGATGGGTTGAATATGAGTGTTAGTGCATGCAGTTCTATAAGGAAGTATGGAGATTTGGCCACTATTGCATTCCCCCCTCCCCCCTTAACACCTAAAAAATAAAGCTTACCTTATTTCCAGCGCCATGTGGATCCACCGGTGCTTGCCCCGCCTCTAAAAAGGCAGTGTTTGCATGAGAATGCCTGCCGGGAATAATTATATTTAACAAACCAACAACATTAAGCTGTAGTTGTTCTGGTGACTCTAGTGCCCCTTTAAATGTTCATCCCGTATCTAACTGAATAGATGAGTATGAGGAGAGGGTGCTTAAGTGTGTTTAAACCCAAGTAACCTCAAGCAAGGAATGGATGATGTATATAGTGTAATACTGTTTATCAAACACAATAAAAATCTAAATTGAAAACTTGAACATTTAAAAGTGTGTGAGCCCTAAGAGTCCCACTAGAAAAACTCAAATTGAAGTGGGCTATCACCACTGTAACCCCTCCAGGATATCCGTGCACATCCCTGTTTCAACCTTTTCTCAGTGCAAAGTGTCTAAGAAACCCTATACTTGACACTGCGAAAAGGCTGGTCTCTGTGTAAGTAAAGATCAGCCCTTTCACAGAGTGTGTCATTCTGGTGTGAAATCCATATTATGACCAGATCTACTTGATAAGGTCCTGGACTTAAGAGGGTGAAAAGAGTTGAAGATATCTAGCCTCTGACGCCGGGTGTGCTTCTTGGCGTCCTACCGCATAATAATTGTTACCTCAAGCAAGCAGTGAGGAAAGGAAATGGGGGCAATCACGGAGATCATAGAGGCAATAGCCCATTTCTATTTGAGCTTTCCTTGTGGGACATTTAGTGCTCACAAACTTTTAAATGTACAAGTTTTTAATTTAAATTTTTATTGTGTTTGATAAACAATATTACACTCTTTTTTTTGAGGTTACTGGGGAGTAAGCACAATTAAGCAAATTTTGAAGTTGACCTGAAGATACTGTAAATGTTATAGATCCCCTACTGGGTAACATACTACAATAGAAACTTCACATCTTTCTAATTCTGCTATATCCAAAGACTGTTGTACACAAACTTGAAAAATTGTTACTTGATATTGGATACTGTGTTTTATAGATATTTTGCAGGCTACCACATTAATATGTTGCTTGTGGTTTTAAGAGTATTTAGTTTACATGAGATAGTGCAGCTCTTTTATTTTATACATTTATTTTTTCTCCATTTTAAAATCATAGAATTCTAGATAGTATAATAATACAATCCTGTTTTTTGTGAGGATTTTATTAGTGTGAATAAACACTATATAGACAAAAATATTGGAATACACCTCTTAATTATTGCATTCAGGTGCTTCAATCAGGCCCATTGCCACAGGTGTATAACATTACGCACCTAGCCATGCAGTCTGCAAATAAAGACATTTGTGAAAAAAAATGGGTCGTTCCGAAGAGCTCAGTGAACTCAAGAGTGGTACTGTGATAGGATGCCACCTTTGCAATAATCAGTTTGTGAAATTTCATTCGTGCTAGATATTCCACGGTCAACTGGGTGTGATATTATTGGAGAGTTGAAACGTTAGAAACAGCAGAACGAAGCATAAGACCACGTAAAGTCACAGAGCACATGGTGTATAAAAGCCACCAATGCTCTGCTGATACCATAGTTGAAGAGTTTCAAACTTCCACTGGCATTAATATCATCACAAAAATGTTGAAATGGGTTTTCATGGCCTATAGAATGTCACCTGCCTGACTGCATTGTTCAAACTGTAAAGTTTGGTGGAGGAGGCATTATGCTAGTCGTTTTTCAGAGGTTGGCAAGGCCCCTTACTTCCAGTGAAGGCAAACCAAGACATTTTGGAAAATGCTATGCTTCCAACTTCGTAGAAACAGTTTGGGGAAGGCCCTTTTCTAATCCAGCATGACTGTGCCCCACCACACAAAGCAAGGTCTTCTGTAGAAGAATTTGACTGGCCCGCACAGAGCCCTGATCTTAACCCCATCGAACACCTTTGGGATGAACTGGAACAGAGATTGTGAGCCAGGCCTTCTCATAAAACATCAGAGTCAGACCTCACAAATGCTCTACTGGATGAATAGGCAACAATTTCCAAATAAGCGCTCCAAGAACTTGTATAAATCCTTCCTATTAGAGTGTAAACTGTTACAGATGCAAATGGGGAGGGGGACCAAATACATATTAATGTCTAAGTATTTAGAATGCAATGCTATAAAAGTCCCTGTTGGTGTAATGGTCGAGGGTCCCAAAACATTTTTCCATAAAGTGTATCATCCTTGCGTGCTTTTTGTTTGATTGTCAATAAAGAATCAAAACAACAAAGAAAACTAATTTCCAAGATTGAGTGTGTGACATGAGTTCTCCTGAAAATTATATTGCTGCCACGGCTGTTGGCCATACCTTATTCTAAATATTTTATATAACACTACCTATTTTATTTCTTTTAAAGATATATAGTGCTGTAGAACATGTAGCCAAAGATTCCCCAATAGGTTTATTATTAGGTTTAGATGCTAAAGCTAAAGACAGGACCACCCAAGATGACCTAGTTAAACTCTGTTTTGTGGAGACTCTCTAGCTTCATTAAAATATATATAGAATGGCCAGCTTCCATATAGTGTATGATGACTTTTACATCCTTCCTCAAATTCTTTGACCTGTGTTATGACTACCATTTCCCATACACAGAACAGATAGACCTTTGACTAATACGCTGACATAAATGAACTGAAAGGACATTTAGGGCAATGGAGTACCTTCTGATAGACTGTCCTCGGAATCACAACTGGCACCAATTATGCAACATCAATATCCTACTTGTAATAGTAACATGAGGCTTGAGAACCCACTGGGCATATCTTTTCCATTGCCCCATGTCAAAAGTTGTTCAACATTTAGTGCCCTTCTTCCCACTGTATGAACACACACACACACAGAGGAAGATAAGGACAGACAAACTCATTAACATTTTGGTAAATACATTTCTGAATTTAAACTCGATGCTGTAAAAACTAGAAATTACATACTGCAATATATTGTATTTTTCTCTTTAGATTATATGAATGTTAGACCTGTTTCATGTGACTTTTGAATAGTTCCATTGTTTGCCTGGAAACAAATAAAAGACTGATTCCGAAATGCCCTTGGAGAGTAGAAATAGCTGTCAATCTATACTGACATAAAACTGCATTGATCTTGAAGTCTCTAATTAGGATCAATGAACACTTAATTACAACATCCTTGACATTTTTAGACAGTTTGAGTTTTTGCTATATGTTTTGGACTGTTTTCAATTTTATTTCTTTCAGATCTTTTATGAAATGATCATCGGTTCTTACAGGTTCAAAAACTTCACTTAGTTGTATAATTTTATAGTCTACAATATATATTCATCAATTTCACAAAAGTGCCATATTCTTTAACCTATCATACATTCTAATCAGGGTTTAGTTTCGTGTGGGCTAATCAACACAGGAACACCAACAAGGACTGACAATATTATTTCTGTAATGTGCTTGGTTCTTGGCCAAATTTTACACGAGGCATAAAAAGCAAAATAAACCAATTTCATTTTGTGTCAAGAAGTCTATGTAGCAGTGGATTTTAGTTACTAGAAACCTATTTGAAGTATAGACAAGACAATCCTTGAATATATGTGATGTATATACACTCTATAGACCATCTACCATAGCACTCCACGTGGCACTAGAAAAATAAGCTCATGTGAACAAAGCATTGAATGTTTGCTTTAGTGTTATATAAGTTTTTATCACTTTAATATTGCATTATATGTTCACAATGCTCTTACAATAGATTAATAAAATACACTTTAGCTTATTTAGCACCAGCACTATTTTATTTGTCTCCCACGTTGTAATTAGTGGAGGACCCACCGATATTGGGATACTGTGAAGTAGTGGTGGGCTTAACACAAATGGCCATATGGTAGAACTGAGTCCCCATATTTTTTAGCTGAGATAGATGATTTTAAGTAGCCTTATAAAATGTAAAGCTGTAATTTTATGTGTGCACTGTTCCTTAATGTGTATTAAATTTAAGATGACATATAAATGTGCTGACATAAATCTTATAAGAAAATGGTAATAATATATAATATATAATAATATTGTGGCGAAAGTAACCTCGCCACTTGTACTTGGAGGGGCCTGCTTGCCAGCCTCCTGCCCACAGACTATGGGCCCTGCAGGGAAACCTGTAAAAGACTACCAAACTTGACCAACTGTTAGCACTGATTTCCATGGAACTGTTTTGGGCATAGGACCATGTGCACGGTCGGTCAAAACTATGACTTCCAGGAAATTCCTTAACCACTGAACCGATCTGGGTGATTTTTGGATATGTTGCTCACCCAGATCAGATGTAACTTTTATGGGGTTTTATGTGTTTTTAAGGTATTTTTGGGGTTTCATAAAATTGTATGTTTTTCTGTACTTGGAAATATTTATGTTAGATTAGTACAGTTATTTAAAAAAAAACAAAAACTATTTATTATTTCATTAATTGGATATTCACTTAAGCATTACTGGTGTCCCCGCTGATTCCCAGGTCCAGGAGCTACTCAAGGGGGTGTATCACTCCACAATTTGACACAATACCTTTTAAACTCATAGCCAGGGATCTAACGTCTCTTTTTAAGGTGAGCTAATTAGCATACATTTACCAACTGTGTGCTATTTATACTGACTATACTATTTTTGTTCCATTTAAGATTTTGAGTCATCAAAAGGATGTGTGGTGCTGCCCAAAAAGCACAAAGGCATATTTTACTGATTCAATCCTTTAGGCTCTACCAAACGTGAGTGGTACACAATATTACTTTACAAACATCATCTGTTTAAATACTATCTGCACTATATGAATTTAGTTTTTTTCTTTCCATTTATATTTTATGTCGTGCTGAAAAATATATCTTCTCACCCATGTTATAAGGGTAAGGATATTTTTTACTGGTAGGGTTTTTAAAGCACTCCACTATTTTATATAAGTTTGTTCACTTATATTGCATTTTTTGTATTTGTAATAATTTATTGGTGTGGGTAAGAAGGTATCCCCACATGTGTCTTTGAGAGCTGCTTTTAACCCCTTAAGGACACAACTTCAGAAATAAAAGGGAATCATGACGGAATATTTCCGTCATGTGTCCTTAAGGGGTTTTTAAAATAAGTTAAGATATTAAGCGTTGTATTGTGAAACACATCTTCTTCTTGAAAGGAGGCCTGTCTTTGTTTGCTGCAGTTCCCCAATGAAGCCCTGATAGATCATTTATGGACACCAAAAACCTTTTGCCAGAGGTATAAGATTCTGTTTCCAACTATGGCTTTCACGGTACAGGTGTGGGTAAAATGTAAATCCCCCTTAAGGTGGGGAGTACACTTCCCTCCAAATCCCTCAC